GCCCTGATGCGAGCAAACTGCCGGTGACAAACTGGGAGACCTGATTTGTGCAGGACCTGAGGACCAAACCATTTATTGCAATTTCACAGGAGAGGGGGTGTCAATATATTCATGCTTTGTTTACACAGTTTTCACAGTTTACTGCTGAAAAATGAGGGGGAACATGAAGAGTGTTTATTTTACTGCTGGATTATCTTTTTATATTTAAAAGAAAAGGGGGACTATTTCAGTGGATTTTATTTATTTATTTTTTTTACTTTTTTGGAATGTCTATAACCTGGATAACTGACAATCTTCACTTTCCCAACAGGACTACAGTTTTATTTGATTGGGTGGATTCTGATCAGTATATTCCAATCATCAGCCCTTTATTCCCATTATGTCTATGCAAACGTAGCTTTAGTCTCCATCTTTGTCAGGAGTATGAAGACAACATGTTTCTGTTGGTAAAGACCAGCAGAGACGCCTGAAATGCTGGCATGCATTTTTGTGTTAAGGCTCTTTGTTTAAAGAAAAAAGAAAAAAAAAAATCAGGTAACAGATTGCAGTTGTATAACAGAAACCTCCTGCCAAAATGCAACTTTCCTTTTCAAGGTGTAATTATCTACGTTCATTCATCAGAGCAGCGTTAAGCAGGATCTGTTTTTTTAGCTAAGAGCAAGATGGGGCACGCTGTAACCTTAAACCTGATTATGATGAGTGCTGCTTCAACATTGGTAAAAGTGTCTGGGTTTGGTTTAATTTCAGCAACATCTTTCTTCCATAAAGTAAGTTAAACTGTTTTGTTTTTGTTTTTTTGTCTATTTAGCTGCACAGTCTGCAGTTCTGAGCAGAACGATCAGCAAATTCCTGAAGAATCAGAAGCCAGATAAGAAGGTAGGTGCTGCTAATCAGTGTTTAGATTTTGAATAATGTTTCACCCTCTTTAAACTCGTAGGGAAGTCATATTTAAATGTCAAATCATTCCGGCTTAAACATGTATATAAATGTTCTCTTTATCCGACCATATTGTCCCAAGAGATATAAAATTCCTATTTTAACAAAAATCCTGTCTTAAAAACTGTTTTTTTTTTTTTCCGTTATCTTCTGCAGGCCAGTTAGTTCT